CCTAGCTGCGCAGACTGCTGGCACGTCGAGGACCACTCCGGAATGGGACAAATGAACACGCCGCCGCGCAGGAAAGGCATGCAATTAGACTGGTTACGAACGTAACCATATGCATAGTGGGTACCGCAATTGTGGGTATCGTCTTCCGTGGAGTTCCCTATGGGGTCCCCAAGCGTTAAACTGGACGGGGGAACCGCATGCGAACTGCGCCACTGGGACCTTCGGTGGAGGTCCCCGTGGGGCCGCGAAGCGTTGTACTGGGTGGGGGACCGTGGGGAGACGAAACATTAAACTGGGCGGGGGGAACCGCATGCAGACTGCACCACTGGGACCTTCGGTGGAGTTCCCTCTGGGGCCACGAAGCGCTGAACTGGGTGGGGGAGGCGCATGCGGACACGGCCACTGGGACCTTCAGTGGAACTCCCCTTGGGGCCGCGAGGCGCTGTGCTGGGTGGGAGAACCGCATGCGGACTGCGCCACTAGGACCGTCGGTGGAGCTCCCTCTGGGGCCACGAAACGATGTACTGGGCGGGGGATCCGCATGCGGACTGCGCCACTTGGACCTTCGGTGGAGCTCCCGCTGGGAACACTAACGCGTGCGGGGAAACCGAACGCGGACTGCGCCAATAGAACCTTCGGTGTGGCTCCATATGGGGCCACGAAGCGCTGCACTGGGTGGGGGAGACGCATGCGGACTGCGCCACTTGGATCTTCGGTGGAGCTCCCTCTTAAGGCACGAAGCGCTATACTGGGCAGGGGAACCGCATGCGGACTGCGCCACTGGGACCTTAGAAAGCGCCACTGGGAACTTCGGTGGAGCTCCACGTGGGGCCATGAGGGGTTGTACTAGGCGGGGGAACCGCATGCGGACTGCGCTACTGGGACCTTCGGTTGAGCTCCACGTGGGGCCATGAAACGTTGTACTAGGCGGGGGAACCGCATGCGGACTGCGCCGCTGAGACCGTCGGTGGGGCTCCCTCCGGGGTGGCGAAACGTTGCAGTGGGCGGAAGATAAGCATGCGGACTGCGCCACTGGGACAATCGGTGGAGCTCCCTCTGGGGCCACGAAGCGCTAAACTGAGCGGGGCAGCCGCATGCGGATCGCGCCACTTGGATCTTCGGTGAAGCTCCCTCTGGGGCCACGACGCGCGCGAGGGGCGTGCGAACGTGAGGGGGGCGGCGGGAAAAAGGGGGGGAGGAGGAAGGAAGAAGAGTGAGTGAGTAACGCGGGGCGCTCTCTTCAAAACGAGGGCGCAACACCACAAGATGGTCGGGAACAAACCATAAGAGCTTTACTGACCCACAGGGTTGCGAACATGATGGGTGGCAAGTAAAATCGGGCGGCGGCGCTGCATCAAAAGCCTCAACCTGCCTTCAAAAATGCGTTCATAAGACGCCCCTGACGGAACGCAGCGTTTGCATCCGACCAATGATCAGTGGGCTGCATCACGCCCAGGAGTCAGGAAACCGGCAACCCGACCGTCGACGCAGCGGGGGGCGCAGAAAAAGGAAGCGAGGCCACGAGGGAACGGAACAGGAAACGGGCCCCGGTCAAAAATAGACCAGCACCTCTGGGGCAGCGCTGGCAATGGCACTTATCGCCAGGACACTCGCAACCACCGACACGACAACTCTCAGGTTGAACGCGAATGCGAGCTGAAATCCAAACCCCTCTGCACAAGGCCCGCGAAACCGCAGCGACTTCAAACGCGGAAAGCGACGGGCAAACTGCGCGCATTCGAACACGAAAAAAAAAGAATGCCAGTCTAAGGATAACATGAAAATGCCCGAGCCGCGCTCTTCTGGCACGCTCGCAGGCCATCGCGCCAGACTGCTCCGCTTCTCTCGTGGCGCGAGCGAGCTAGGCTTGCGTCGCAGACGCTGGGTCGCCAGGGCAGGTCTGCACGGCGAGTGGGCCGCGGAGGCATCTCCTGCAACGCCGCCCCCATCTCCGACAGAAGCGACCTCCCATACCAGCAGGGAGATCATCGATCAGGGATAAGCTCCAGGAGAGGGCCGAGCAGATGCTCCAAGCCAGTTTAAACCGACGCCGCGCCTGAGACACCTGACCCGTGCGATATACACACACTCACACCGCGTAGCGATACGGGAAGCACTGCGCGTTGCAGCCTGCGCGCCAAAGAATTCGCATCAGTGTGCCATCGAAGCTGCGCCGATGACCATAGCGGACGATCTGTAACGTGCAATCTTCAAATTGGGGCGATAGAGTTGAAGCGCGTTGCCGAGCGCAGAGACAGCGCGATTGCTGCAGGGGACAATGGACCCCGCTAGTCTGGCACCCGCAAGGCGAATACAACACGCACGTGCGAAATACTTGTCGCGCTGGGCCGGGCAACCATTGGGGCGGGCATAGGCCCATCAGACGCCGCCAAATACCTGCACCAAGCCAACGCAGATACCCGCTCGCAGCCATCACCCAAGGTCGCGAAAAATTCTCGCGGGGGGGCCCAGTCCTAGAGCGCAGAAAATCCACTCCGCCAGTGGCCACCCCGACGCGCGAAGCCGTTCAGCAAACGCGCCCAAAGAAGGAATCAAACAGGGCAAGGCTGTCTAGTAAACGCCCAAGGCCGTTTAGTAAACGCCCATTGCCTAGTCCGGGTGGTCTTTCCCCCCTTGACGCGAGGCCCGTATATCCCGAAATTCAGCTCCACGCCGATGGCGTCCGCGAGCAAGCAGAGCCCAGCAAAGATCGGGCCCAACTTGGCAAACAAGTTGACCGGGAGAGTCGTCTGCGCAACCTGAAAGTCTGAACCCGACGGGGCCTGCAGCAATTAGCCAACAGCACATTGGGTCCAGGGCCACGGCAAACAATCGTATACACGCAAGGAAAGCCTGACAGACCCCGCGACCCACCGCCGAAAGAAGGCAGACTTACGCCGCAAAGTAGAGGCCGGGGCAACGCTGCCCTGGCAGATGCGGGCCGCCCAGGCAGGAATGCCCGTGCACTTGGGACAGACCGGGGAAAGCGGCTTGGAAGTCCGCGAACAATTGAGCGGCATCCTTTCGAACCTTAAAACGCGCCAACAGACTGTCACCTTCGCGCGAGATGATGTCAACCGGAATAGCGCGACCAAGAACGCCCCCCGACAAACGCGACGGAATGGTGCGCATGCTGACCGGGGTGTAAGGATGAGCAACAGCTGCCGTCGCAAGCCTGTAGTCAGTGCACCCAATAGAGAGCGGGCGAATCTGCGGAGACTCCCGCGCAGGGGGCAGCAGTCGAGTTGGCGATGAAAACCGCAGGGGGCTCGCGAAAATAATTGAGGCGGAGATCTTCAAGGAGAGCGGCGCTCTGACAATAGAAATCGACCCGGGCGCCCATGGCCCCACGGCGTTGCCGGCAATCGTGGGGCAACTTGCAAAACGAGGGCATCGCGGCCAGTGCGGTTGGCGAGCACGACGCTTCCACGGCGCTCTGTGGACCGCGCCATGCCAGGGACAACCGCATCAAAGCGCTGGACGCGAGAAGCAAGAACCGGCCGGAGGGGCGCGCGCAGCGCACGCCAGCGAGCGCAGCAAAATGTTACCAAGACGAACAGGCATGCTCAGACAGTCTTGCCAGTCGCGATTACGCTGTGCACGCGCGCGCTTGCGCGACACTTCGTGCCCGTGGAGATATCTGGCCCGCGCGATAACCTCTTTTCGGAACCCAAAAAATGACTGCCCAACGCGAAGGTGCGCGCGCGGCCCGGGGAGGCCAATGTTCGCGCCAAAAGCCACATCGAAGACAGATGAGATCGAAGGGAAGGCGCGCGCGGCTCGAACGCCACGGAGCTGCGCGCTCGCGCGGGAACCGCGGAGAGCTGCAGCGCACCAATGGGGCCACTCGCGCGGACAAGTTGACAAGCGACAACTCGTCGTCTTCCGAAGCTCTGCATGCGCACCGCGCGCCGCCGCCTCTGTCCTAGCCGCATGCGCACGGCGCGGCGATGACTCGTCAGCCGCCCTCATCCCGCACATCAGCGCGCCACGCGGCGCAATTGCTTTGGCGGCGCAACCGGTGGGGGGCCGCCAGGGCGTCACTGCTGGGGCGCAATAGTAATCATGGCAAGAAATGCTTGAGCGGGTTCTCAAGGCCCGCGGGCGCCCCGGCGGCGCGGGGTCAGGAACGACGACATTCATCAGCGCCGCTGGAAGAACGTCAACGCGCGCTCGATCGAGCCGAGCAGTCGAGACGACCTTGCGGCCCAGACAGGCGGGGCCAGCGCCCTGCGGCTTAAAGTGCCCCGACCGTTCCCCAAACGCAGCATTCGCAAATGAAGGCCGCGACGCCTCGGCTGGATTGCCCCGACCCAGGACGCGCCCGCCCATCATTAACGAATGCAATCATGAACCTTACAAGAAGAATGCGCAAGGCAAAAGGGTCGGGGGGCAGAGCAGAGCGGCCAGGAGACAGCCAGCGAAGTTAACAGCCAAACCCTGCACCAACAGTCGACGCGCGAACTGCAAGGCGCCCCGGCCGGAGTCGCCAAGACACAGAACTCACGACGCCTCACCCATTATCAATCACATCACAATTAAAACAATGAAACACACATCGAACTTCCAGGGCCCCTTGCCCAGGAATATTATCCACGCGGGACTCCAGGACGGCCTGCGATTCGGAAACTCCCTCCGGGTCGCGATGAAGTCCCCGCGATGCTTATGTGACTGTTGGCCCGCAGACTACCTGGTTGCGCTTGATCGGGGCGCTGAACAGGCCCAGACGCTCGCATGCGCGAACTCGCGCACCTGTAACGCGGGCACAACAACTTTCAGCATTCCAATCCAATGTGAGACTGATACCGCTGTTCCTTCCTCCCGGGGCGAAGGGGGGGCGCATCGGCGCCCCGCGCCCCCCTTGAACAAGCTGCGCCGATAGAAGCTGGCCCGCGCACACTGGAGAGCGCGCGGGCCACCCAGCCCTGGCAGGGGCAGACTGTGCATTTGGCCCGTCCGCCCATGTCTCAACTAGCCAACAGACATATGCCGCCCACCTCCTAGCCCGAGAGCCACGAAGCGGCAGGCGCGGGCAACTGCGCGGGGCGCCCCCCGGAACAGACTCGGTTGAGAAACGCGGAAGACCCTCGCAAAGATGAACCCAGTGCCAATTGGCGAGCCGGTTGGCCCCTTCCACGAGGGGCGCGTCGGCCTCGACTGCCGCCTCGAGTTCGCGGCGAATCTGACCCGACACCGCCGACCGCGCGCCCGTCCGGCTGCCGCCGAGGGGCGCGAGGCGCAGCGAGCGGGGGCCCTCGGGGGCGGCGCGCGCGATGCCACCAGGGAAATTCCCGCCGAACGTCTCGACGATGTCAGAGGCTCCGCTTGCCAACGGGAGACGTAGATTCACTTGTTTCGAAAAGTTATGCGGGGCAGCCTTCATCGTCGACTTCGCAAGCTCGAGAAACTGTAGAAGAAAAGCTGCGATGCCTGCCCCATAGAGAACCTCGCAAGTGAACTCATCACCGGACCCCACAGGAGCGGCCATCGACGACAGATCGGGAGAACCGGGGCGAGGATGAGGCATGGCTCTGAATTTTCGTCGTTCTGCCGTCGCCACCACGATCGCTGCCGTTGCCGAGATCAGTGCTTGTCGCCCATGATCGGAGAAAGGCCAACTCTCTTCCAAAAATGCTCGCCAAAACCGACAGGCCTAACCTGGACGTTAGCAACAATCACAGAGACTTGTGCCGTGACAGACCTGAAGGACTCAAATCAGTCATCTTCGGTATCAGGGCGCTGACGCCCGCGCGAGCCATAGCGCCCGGGGGATCAACATCTGGGCTGGCCAAGAAGAGCGGGCAGGCAGGACTGGGCCGCCGTGCCCAGAATTCGAGCCCCTTCGGCTTGAAAGAAACTGTTGGAACGACAATGGTTACGGATAGCGATGACGATGGCGATGTCTATGACGACGACGAACGCGACGACGGCGACGACGGGGATGACGATGATGGTGATCGCGGGGCGACGGCGGTCGCGACAGCGATGGCGACGGCGGTGACAGCGCAATGCTGGCGGCGAAATTGGTAGCGACGATGATTGCGACGGCGAGGATGTTGATTATGATGGTGATGGTGGCGGCGGCCGCGGTGATGACGCTAGCACCGCTGTTGCTGGCGATGCTGATTATGTCGGCGACGGCCCCAGCAGAGAAAATGCAAAAAGAAAGCCAAAGGAAGGGGCAGGAGGAGAGGCTGCAGAAGCGCAATTCAGGAGGGGTTGACTCGGAGCGATGGCCCCGCGGCGCCTTAGCCCCATGGACGGGGGCAGGTCGCTCGCGACGCCACCTCGACAAGCGCGGGGGGGGGGGGCCGAACGAGACCACAACAGAACAGAAAATGATGACTGGAGTCAAGCGCTGACTTTTCGATCGGCGCAGGAAGCCCCCCATTCCCTGGCGAGCGGAGCATCCGGCGCCAATCCAGGAGACTTGCGCGGACCGCCAAAAGTCCAAGTCCGCCCTTGCGCGGCCGCTTTGTCTTCGAGGGAGGAGGGCGGCAGGGGGGCGGGCGATCGGGGCGGGGAGGGCGACCCTGAAGGAGGGCGGCGCGACGGGGGCGGGCCGGCGGGGGGGGGGGGGCGAGCTGGGGGGGGGGGGGCGGGGCGCAGGGGAACTGGCACCCGCGCCGGCGCAGCGCAGCCGCGAGGGGCCCTGAAGGTTTGCGCCAGAGCGGCTTCTCCCCCATGAGGAGCGGAAGGGGCGGGTCGCGCGCCGCAGAGAGGGGGGGGGGGGGAGGGGCCCGACGGCCCCGCGGAAAGCCCCCCAGAGGGGGAAGGGGGGCATCGGAGAGGCCGCTTTGCCTCCGCAGTGCTGCCTTGATCCATCCGCGCCGCGGGCCAGCGACAGCGCCCCCCTCCCGGCGCCGAGCCCCCTCGAGCCAGCGAGCGACGAGCGCGCTGGCCCCATTGAACTGGATGCGAAAAAAAACCGCTTTGATTCCAGCCCTGGCGGGCGTCGAAGCGGACAGCCCTTATCTTTTTTGCCTGCCGCTCTGGATGCGACGGGGGGGTCTGCGCGAACTCCAGGCGGAAGCCCGCGTGAGCCGACTGAATCAAGAACAGCGCTGGTCAGGGGCATGCAGGCCTCCAGCCTCTTGAACGGCGGCAGGATGATGTTGTTGTTGATGGCGGTGGGAGAGAGGATGATGATACTGGCGATGATGATGACGTTGATGCTGGGATGGTAGTGTTGCGGATGATGGTGGTGGTGGTGGTGATTCGTGATGACGACGGTAATGTTGGTGAGTGGCGGTGGTTGATGATGATGATGATGATGGCAACAATGATGAAGATGGTGGTGGCGATTGTTGGCGGTGGTGAAGGCGATGGCGGTGGTGGGCGGTGATGCTGCTGATGGTGATGACGGTAGAATGATGATGGAGGCAGGTGGACATGATGCTGACGGCGATGATGCTGATGACGATGATGACTGTGAAGCCGATGACAATGAGAGTGGTGATGATGATGCTGTAATGCCAATGTTGTGGATGATGACAACGGTGATGGTAATTGATGAAGATGATGAAGATGATTGTGATGATGGTGATGATGATGATCAGCAGCATGGTTGTGGCCCTGGTGAGGGATGTTACTGATGACAATGGTGAAGCGACTTCTGATGATGACGGTGATGATGCTGGTGTTGAACGTGCTTGATGATGATGATGGTTCTGATGATGACGTTGACGAGGGTGATAGTGATGGCGGTGACGGTGATTATGACGACGCTGATGATGGCGGTGATGATGAAGGTGACAATGAAGGCCGATGGTGACGACGGTGGTGATGGTGATGATAGCGAGGATGATGATGGTCAGTGATAGTGATGATGATGATGTCGATGATGATGGCCGCGGTGATGGTGGCGACGGCGATGTCGATGATGATGATGCTGATGGTGGTGCTGAGAGTGATGACAATAAAATTGATGATGGCGATGACGATGGCGATGCTGATGGTGGGGGTCATGATGCTGATAATGGTGTTGTTCATGATGACAAGGTGGATATGATATTGGTGGTGATGATGCTTTACGGTGGCGACGATGGTGGTGGTGATAGATGGTGCTGGTGATGGCGGTGACTAGGATAATTGACGGCGGTGACGCTGGTGATGATGGCGGGAAAGGTAGCGATGATTTTGGCGATGATGATGGTTGCGGTGGCGATGATGATGACGACGCCGACGATGATGATGGCAATGACCAGGCTGATTTTTTACTCGGCATCAGAACCAGACGAGCCAGGCTGATTTGTTACTTGGCATCAGAACCAAACGAGCCTGCGCAGCGTTCCAGACAAAACTATGGTCCACCGCAGAGAGCCGAATCTCTCGGTAGCACCCGCTCTTGGGGCCACGTCTCGCGGGCGCTGACACTGGGGAGCTGCGTCGCGCTGCCACGAGACGCGTCGAGGAGGCATTTATTCGTCGGGCAAAGAAGCTGCGACCTCGTCTTTTGCTGCTGCATCGAGCTGATCGCGCCGGCCTTCGGGCCCTTCGAGATGGGGCGACCCCGAGTCGGCAGGGCCCGGCTGCGCCAGCCCTGCCGACCACGAGTCTGCTGGCCCAGACAAGAAAACAGAAAAAGCTGAGACTGGCGGCGCACGCCCACCGACATGCTCCGACTCTGAGTCTTCTGAGACTGGTTGCGCGCGTCCTGCCGACCCCGAGTCGGCAGCTGCTGGGGGGTCTGGCCTAGACGCCAAGACAGAAGCTGCCGGGGCTGGCGGCGCGCGCCCGTCGGCGCGCTCCTGCTCTGAGTCTTCTGAGACTGGCGGCGCGCGCCCTGTGGCATGCCCCTGCCCCGAGTCTTCCGAGCGCGGGCGCTGGCGCTGCGGCGGCACACCGCGGCGGCTAGCAGGGAGCGGTCACGATTAGCTTGCGGCCCGGCCACTCTGGGGCCCCCGCGACCAGCTAGGCCTCGTCCGCGTCGAAGCATCGCTCGAGCCGTATGAAGCTGATCTGCCGCTGCTGTTCATACTTCATGACATCGACTTCGGTCATCTCGTCGGACGGCTGGGCCTGCTCCAGGTAGGCGCTGATATCCTGCTCGAATGCCCCGCCCACGTCGCCCTTCCGGAGGCTCTCCAGCGCGGCGAGCCCCAGTGCTGGAGCTGGGGGCCCTATATCATTGAGTTTATGCTTGTCCTCCGCGTCTTCGCTGCGGAGCTTGTCGAGCATGTTCTTGCAGCCCTCCAGCTCGGCGGAGATCCTGTCCACGAGTGGGTGATTCGTCGTCATCGTGTACGCGTCAATGTTGATGCTGCTGTTGAGGCGCGTCCTCTGCGTGGTCTGGAGCAGCAGCTTGAGCGTGGTGCGTAGCAAGGCCATCAGGTTCTTGTCCTTGCTGCTCCAGACCTTTTCGCTGTGGGCCCCCCTCCTCGCCCTGCGGCCGCCCCTGCGCTTCCTGCGCATGTCGCCCTTGGCGGCCTGCTCGTCCTCGTCGACCTCGATCGCCGCGTCGACTGGCGCTCTCGGTGACTGACCTGGTGTAATCGGCGTCTTTCGGAGGCGGGACTTGGCCGCGAGGGGGGCCCCTCGTCGCCCCTCGAGGCGGCGGAGGGGTCCATGGGGGAGGCGCCAGCTCGCGCGCTTCGGCTCGGCTGCTGGCTGCGCGGCGTTGGCGGTAGAGTCCTCCTCTGGTAGCACCGTTGCTGCCGTCATCGTGCTCACGTCGTAGTACTGGCAGCGTGGGCGTCGACGCTGCGGTGGAGGATGGAGCCGCTGTTGGAGTCGCTGTCGGAGGCGCTGCCGTCCGACGTGGTGGTCGACCGACGCGTGGCCGATGTCGAGGAACTTCGCACGTGCCCAGGATGAGTTCCGCTGCTCGGCGGAGGGCTGCTCTTGCTGCTGGGGTGTCCTCGATCACGCGAGGTGGCCGAGGCGCAGGTCTGAGCGAGGCGGCTGCTCGAAGCTGTGCTCGGCCCAATGTCGTCGGGCGGGCCTCGGTCCTGATAGTCGGCTTGTGATGATGATGATGATGATGATGATGCTGATGATGATGACGACTGATGGATAAATTCGTGATGATGATGTTGATACTGATGATGTTGCTGTTGATGATGATGATCATCGTCATCACCACCACCACCACCATCATCATCATCATCATCAGCAGCATCAGCATCAGCATCAGCATCAGCATCATCAGCATCATCAGCACCATCACCATCATCATCATCATCATCATCATCATCATCATCAGCATCATCATCATCATCATCATCAGCATCAGCATCAGCATCAGCATCAGCATCAGCATCAGCATCAGCATCAGCATCAGCATCATCACCATCATCAGCATCATCACCATCATCATCATCATCATCATCATCATCATCATCATCATCATCAGCAGCAGCAGCAGCAGCAGCAGCAAGATCAGCGCGGAAGGAGGGAGGCAGGGGAGGGGTAGGGGCAGGGGGAAAGGACCCGCCGAGCTCAGCACCCGCCCGCAGCGGCCTGCAGCCTGTCGATCGCCGCCTGCTGCTGGCTCTCCGTCGCCTCCGCCCTGGCCTTCTGCACGTCGAGGTCGGCGCGGTGGCGCGTGAGCAGCGACCTCCCCTCTGAGACGAAGCCAGGAAGAAGATAACATCGGGTGAGGATAAAGCGAGAATCTCTGAGAGTCGGCAGCCCAAGAGCTGCCCCGAGAGGCCCGCAGGGGGCCCAAAATGAGCCCCGAGCAGCCCCCAAAACGCCCCTTCAGAGGCCTGCAAACTGCCTCCAGAAAGTCCCCCACGAGATTCCAACGAACATCCAATAGGCTTCATACCCACAACGCAGGCACGGTGGCGGGATGGGCCGAAGGCCATTCGATCGGTCGCCCTCTGTGGTCTTGCCACAGGGGTGCCCAGCGTGCTGGACCCCACAGGTTTGGATTTGGTATTTTTCTGCAGAAGTACTCCTCCCTGGGGTTTCGGCCCGTCCCGCCGGCCACCCAGAAGACCGCGCCGCTGCGCAACCCACGTTTCCCAAAACGGCCGTTTCGCTCTGGACATCCTCACCTAATCGCGATGTTGTAGACCCTGGCCCAAGACGCCTTGTGTTAAGAATGAGCGTTTCGGCCAAGACGGCCTCAAGATGACGGCAGACGGACGAAGTTGGTATCGAATCGGGTCGATCGGATCGAGATGGACCCTGCTAATTATTGCCATGTTCCTGGGCTTGCGGCTTGCCTGCAGCGCTCCCTCCTGGAAAAGATGCCCGCTCGATGCCCGGCCGCGCGCGCGCGGCGCCACACGAGGGCGCGCCTCTCCGCCAGGAAGAATTCGTGCTCCAGCGTGCGCTGCATCTCGCGCGTGACAGCCTGCGCGCCGAGCACCCAGGACAACCGGCGACGGCTGGCGGTCGGACGAACGTCACACGCGTGTTATGCCTAGCGGTTGCCATAATCACTTGGGAAATCACACGCTTCTATGGCAACCGGTAGCTATGAAAAAAAAGTGCGATGTTCCATCTGGGCGCGCCTTTCCCTCCTGCGTTGCAGCTCGCTCGTGGCGCCAGCCCACGGGGCCTCGGCCACTTCCCAGGGGCCGGCGTCTCGTCGTGAGTCCCTGATTTCATAGCAGCACAGCTTTTCCACACCTGGCGTTTTTGCCTTGTTTCGGGCACCTGGAGCCCTCCAAGATCGATCCGGCTTGGAAATTGGTGCCGAAAAACGTGGTCTAACGCTCCAGTCGCGATGCTGTACATTTTCTCGTGCCGCGGTGGATCTCGGGGTTCGCTCTCTGACGGCCCCAGGGCTGGGACAGCGGGCAGCAGAGGCCAACTGCGACGAAAGCCTGGCCGTCACAATTGCTTGGCGACGCCCAGATCTGACGGCGGAGGGGCGGGGGGCAACAGCTGAGGGGGACCGTTAGGCGTCAGGCGGGGACTGGCCCAAGGGAACAAACATCGACCTGAAATCGACAATACATCGCCGGAAAATCGGCGATGAACCCCCCGAGCGCGAATCCGCGTGGTCCTGGGCGGGGTGGGGTAACTATCGGGCCCCGTCGGTAATGTGTGCGCGATGGAGGATCGATGCGTTCCCCGTTAGCCCACCCCCCAACGTTCCTCGTTGCTTTCGGGTCACAGCTCGGTTTTCCTGCGGCCGTTCGGAACGACCTGGGGCCCCCAGCACGTTCACGGCGACACGCAGTCGCTGAAGCCGCCTGAGGCATCCTGAGGACGGAAAACCCTTCCAAAACCGGCGAACCCGGCAAAAAAACGTCCGAACAGTCGATCCCCCCCGTGACGCTGCCCCTTGCCACGCATCAATCATGCTCCTTGGGGGAACGGGGGGAAAGGAGAGACGAAAGACGAGGGCGCAGCAGGGATGACGGAAGGCGAGGAGGAAAAAAGGGAGGACGATGGGGAAAAGGACGAGGAGGAGGCGGACGGTTCTTGGGGCGGTTCTTGGGGGCGGGGGGTCGCGCGTCGCGCCCACCGTCACGACGTCGCGAACCGATCCTGCAGGCTCGGGCGCGGCGCCCGGCCGATTCACGCCCCCGCGAATGCTGCGGCTCACCCCGCGCCAGGAAGCAGCCTACGCCGCCTCCCGGCAAGGGGAGGAAGAGGAGGACAACTAGAATTGCGTGAGCTGGAAGCTGTACGAAAGCACGGCGGCAACACGATGTACATTGCGCGGTTTTAACGAACCATGCAATAAGACGGTATGCGTGGACAGTCGGGCCAAGAAGCGGCGACCTCTCCTATTGGAGTCGGGATTATGCGGGGCCAAAGGATGAAAGGACCATAGGATAAAGGGAACCATATCTGTCCACCCACAGGCGTATTCCAAACTCGGCAGGGAAACGACGTCTGGCGGGATGATGGCACCGCGGCCGCCGCCGCCCTGTGGACCGTCTCCACCAGGCATCATGCCCGTGAGCCAGAACAAGACGGCCACGAAAAACACGAGGATGCTGCCCCCCTTCCTGAATATGACCTCACCACGACGATGGTTTCGCAGGCGCCTTGGGGCTCGGGCCTGCGCAGTGACGAACGCCATGTTGGACTGCGGGGCAACCGCGATGATGCCGTTGTCAACTTTGGTCGAAGCCGAAGTCGGTGAAACCTGTCCATTCTCCAGCACTGTTCAACACGGGTGGTGCGATGTGCTCACGATGACAGCCAGCACGATCGCACACATACCGAGGCACGGCGCCAGCCCAGGAAGAAGCCTCGCACGCATGCCAGGCGCAAAGCTGCGGCCAGTGCCTGCGGGGTTGCGATGGGTCGAGGAACGGCGCGGCGCTCCCGTGGGCGATTCGGTCCTCATCGCGGCTGCGCCTTCTGTTGTTGCCCTCGCCGCCGGACCGGATGCTCGAGGCAAATTGCCAGTCGGCTTGCAGAACAGCCACAAACACAGGCGAATCAAAAAATTGAGGGCGGTACCGATGCGGAGATGGAGATACATGCGAACGCGCGTCCACACCGCACTCTTCGCACGTTCCGTGGATCGCAAGCTGGGATCGTTCCCGGCTCCGCTACCAACTAGAACTGTGGGGGTTGGAAGCTGCACGAGAGAAAACATGGCGTCAATAAAGAATATACTGCGGACATGCATCATACAAAAACAAATATGCGACGAGGCTCGGGCCAACGACCTCTTCAATTTGAGCTAAGAAACGGAGGTGGCTGAAGAGGAAGAGGAGGGGCAGGAGGGGGATGGCGGGACCGCGGGGAAGGCGGCGGGGAGGAGGAGGAGGAGGAGGAGGAGGAGGAGGAGGAGGAGGAGGGGGAGGAGGGGGAGGAGGGGGAGGAGGAGGAGGAAGAGGGGGCAAACCCTCCCTCCAAACTCCCTCTTTATAGGCCTCTACAACGGTTCTTTCCAGGCCCCCTCGTTGGAAGACACCCGTCTGAAGACCCTGCAACATGCCAAAACACTGTCGTCGGGATTCCGACGCCACGGATCAACCTGACTGCTGCGTCTTGACGATCCAGAATGACGTCAGAACGCCATTGCGATGACTCCAACACAGAGAATCAACGTAACTGTTGCGCCTGCATAATCCTGAACCCTTCCAAAACACCATCTCTTGTGCGTTAATGATGGGAGTCCGTGGAACTCTTGAGAATGGTGTAAACGAATGTGCGCGGCGCTAAGGCAAGAACCATATTTTGAAAACAACTCGCCCTCAATCCGCGAAATTCTTGCACATGTTGATAGCGAATGTGCGGGGCGCTAGGGCGAGAACCACATTTGGAAGACGATCCGCCCTCAATCCGTGAAACTCTTGCAAATTGTAAAACGACTGCGCGCGGCGCTAACGCGAGAGCCATATTCTGAAAACCACCCGCCCTCCATCTGTGAATACATGGTGAGGACGTCTCAGGCGAAACGCCCGGCCCGCCCTAATAACTGGCATCAAGGTGCGACAGGGATAAACTGCTTATAAGGAAAAGGAATTCAAGAGGAAGAGGAAAAGGGAGAGGAAGAGGAGTAGGAGGAGGCAGAGAAGGAGGCGGAGGAGGAGGAGGAGCGAGGGGGACGAGCAGGGGGAGGAGGAGTGGAGGAGAAGGAGGGGGAGGAGAAGGAGGAGGAGGGGGAGGAGGGGGAGGGGGAAGAGGCGGAGGGGGGAGGAGGAGAGGAGGAGGAAGAGGAGCAGGAGGAGGAAGAGGAGGAGGAGGAAGATGAGAAGCAGGAGGAGGAGGGGCAGCAGCAGAGACAGGGTACGAAGAGGACCAGGAGCTAGAGGCGCGGGCGGCAGAGCGAGCCAGGGGCAGCGGCGGCGCGCCTGCACTGGCACCGGCAAAGCAGGGCCAGAGAGGAGGAACAGCAAGGTTCGATCTAAACAGTGTTGTTCGTGTTCGTGTTTGTGTTGCGCTTAGCTTTCAGCGGAAGAGGTTCGCTCTCGCCCTGCAGATCAAAAAAAGTATTCGTGTTGTTTTCGAGGTCCTTCGTTCCGTCTTCGCTCTGCCTTTGCTGCAAAACGAACTCAAAACGAAAACGGCCCACGAAATCGCCAAAACACCGCTCACAACCCCTGCGACAGGATGATGCGGAGAGCAGTAGCGAATCGGATCGGATCGGATCGGCGCTTCGGGGTGCTGGTCAACCGCCCTGGCAGCACAGTCGCACCCCTGCGTTGCGCTCTGACGAACGCCTGCGTTCGTCTCCTTTACGGCCGGCGTCACGGGCCTGCCGCAGAAGAGGGAGGAGCCGGAGGAGAACGAGGCCGAGGACGGTGCGCACCGCCGTGCACGAGCACATGGCTCGGAGCGCTCCAGCCCGCTGCATCAGCTGGGGCTGGGGAGGCGGGTTGGGCGCAGCGATCTCTGGCCTCATGCCCAGGCAGCGCAGAAAAAAGAGGAGGCTGGGGGGGGAGGCGGAGGAGCAGCAGGAGCAGGGGGATAGGACGGGGAGAGGAAGGCGCCGTGAGGAAGAGAGCAACGCGAGGCCGCAGGCGTGCGAAAGCCAGCTCGCAAGGGACCTCGTCTCGGGGGGTGAGAGGAGGAGGGAGAGCGGGGAGAGGGGCGGGAAGTGGACGGAGGAGCGAGGGAGGCGAGTGAAAGGGAGGGAGAGGGAACGCGATGGAGAGGGAAAGGGAGGGAAAGGCAGGGACAAGGGGAGGGGAGGGAGAAAAGGATGGGGCGGTGGGTCAGGGGGACGGGGAGGGGAGAGGTAGCGGGCTCGGGAACAGGGGGCGGGGGCAGGGTGGGAGGGTGGCATTTGGAGGTCCGCTGGGTTTCGTGGAAGTCCGCCAGAGGTTTTGCGTACAGTGCGGACGCGACCGCAAGAAACTCTCGCGCAAGAAGACCAGGCCCGAAGACCCGCGCGAGAGGAGCGACTGAGGGGAAGCCCAGGGCACCCTGAACGCAGCAACTTCTCCAGCGGTCGCGGGAAGTCACCGCGCAGCGCGAGGAGCGAAAAAACCAAGGGGTACCCTGACGAACAGCGCGTGGCTTCTTGATGCGCGCCCCCACTGTATGGAGGCCCGACAGGTCTCTTGTATTGGACCCCCCTCCCTGGCGCGCGGAGAGCTCCAGGGGCGACGGCCGAGCACCCATCCAAGAAACGCGGCGTGGATCCCGAAAGTCTATGCTTGTGCCGCCTGTCCTTCCTCGAAGTGGGCGCAGGGCGGCTCAGGGGCTGCGTGGGCATCTTCCCTCCTCCTCCCCCTCCCCCTCCCCCTCCTTCTCCTCCTCCTAGTTCTCCTCCTCCTCCTCCTCCTCCTCCTCCACCTCCTCCTCCTCCTCCTCTTTCTCCTCCTCCTCCTCCTCCTCCTCCTCCTCCTCCTCCTCCCCTCCTCCTCCTCCTCCTCCTCCTCCTCCTCCTCCTTCCTCCCCCTCCTCCTCCTCCTCCTCCTCCTCCCTCCTCCTCCTCCTCCTCCTCCTCCTCCTCCTCCCCTCCTCCTCCCCTCCTCCCCCCTCCTCCTCCTCCTCCTCCTCCTCCTCCTCCTCCTCCTCCTCCTCCTCCTCCTCCTCCTCCCTCCTCCTCCTCCTCCTCCTCCTCCCTCCCTCCTCCTCCTCCTCCTCCTCCTCCTCCTCCTCCTCCTCCTCCTCCTCCTCCTCCTCCTCCTCCTCCTCCTCCTCCTCCTCCTCTTCCTCCTCCCTGCTCCTCCTCCCTCCTCCTCCTCCCTGCGCATCCTTCCTGCTCCTCCTCCCTGGCTCCATGCTCCTGCTCCTGCTCCTGCACCCCTGCCCCAGGGATCCGATGCTTGGGGGGAGGCGCACGCGCGTGCGCCGAGCACGAAAAGAGCGCGCGGGCGTCGCGGGCCGCGCGCCACAGCAAGTTGCGCGGGCCGAGCACTCGGGCGCGAAGCTCGCGCCAGTGCCGCGGAAAAGCGGCCCGCCTCGAGGCGTCCCGAGAACTCCGCGAGAGCCCACGGCGTCTCGGCGTCCCGGGCGCCCGACGAGAAGGCGCTGCTGGCGAGCCTGCGCTGGGGGGGCAGGATGACGAAGACAATGCCAGCGCAAAGGGCAAACGAGTTTGCGCTTCGCGCTGCGCGAATCACGCGAATGACTTCGAGCTCTCGCGCCGCACCCGGGGGGAGAAGAGGACGACGAGGAGGATGGGGGACGAGGAAGAGAGCAGACCGCGAACCACGAAACGCGGAGAGCTTCGCGCCCTCGTGGCGGCGACCGTGGTCAACAGGAGGCCTCCCAAGTGGGGTCTGAGCAGATTGGGTCGGAGGTTCGCGCCGCCTCGCGAACACATCGTCGAGGCATCGTCGATGCATCGGCGACGCCAGCGTGGAGAAAATCGTGTTCCACATCGTCGATGCGGCGCAAACGCTCCGACCCCATCTACTCGGACCCCTTTGGGGAGGCCTGGATCAAAAGGGGCGTGGGGATGATGTTGCAGGGGCGTTCTAAAGAAGACCTCGAAAGGTAGCAGCAGCAGACTGGCCCAGGACCGTCAGCGCAGATGCGGCGGAGCCAATCCCCGGAAGGGTGACTGCGGCGCACGGGGACGGGACCAGTCAGCAACGAATCGGGAATTGGGATCGAATCGGCACGTGCGTCGGATGGGGCAAAGTCGGGCACGGGATCGGGATCGGGATCGGATCGGCCCCGCCGGGATGCACCGCAGCGGCGCCCAGGCATCGGGCCGCATCGGAAAGCCAGAGCCTCGGAGTCGAGTCGAATCGAGCGGGCCGAGATCCACATCTGGCCGCCTCGAGCCGGTCAAAACGCACCGTGGCCGGGAGGGGGGCCCCCCGCCGCGCACGGGAGGCTGGCCGTGGGGAAGCAGCAGGCCGACCGAGCCCGCGGGCCGCCAGAAGTGCGCCCGGCCCACGGCTGCGCGTGCCGTCTTGAGGCCCCCCGGAGCTCCTTCCTGGGAGCTCCTGGGGGGAAGAGCTAGGATCACAGGGCGGGTTCCGAAACCCTGAGCCCCAGAAACCAATCGGCACCTCTCGGAGGGCCGATGCTTTCGCTTCCGCCGGCCTGCCAGCGGCTTCAGCCGGCGGCTCCGCCGGCGTCTCGCTTCCGCCGGCCTTTGGCCAAGGAAGACATGTCGACTCCTTCACTTCTCGAGCGCCCCACATGGGATCACCCCGGTCAGGGCCACCTCTGGCAGCAACCGACGGGAAGGCGGCGAGGAGACGGAGGGGGAGGAAGAGACAGGCGGAGTAGCGATAGCAGCAGCTTCTTGCTGCAACATGTTTCTGTCCACGGCACGGCATCACAAGCCACGGAACGCCACGGCAGCGGCTGGCATGCCTCGGCATAGCCCAGCACGGGAAGCCACAGCCCAGCCTGGCATAGCACGGCACGGCTCCAGGAAAGCGCGAATTCCCTCGGGTGTACAAACAAGGATCGACGTCTCCTTCTCCGACTCCCAAAATAACCCTGGCGAATAACCCAACCTTTTTTATATGGCGCCACGAAACGTGTGGGTGGTGTGCAGAAGTGGACTCGAGTCACCATGCGGACGCAGCCACTGGGGCCTTGGGTGAAGCTCCCTGTGGGGCCACGAAACGTGAGTGGTGTACCGAACTGGGCCCGAGTCACCATGCGGACGCAGCCACTGGGGCCTTGGGCTGAGCATCATCAGAAGCTTGGGGACAGCGTTCAGCCCTTAACCCGAAAATCTCCACGTCGGTCCAAACTACTGCCGCAGATCTGGGCCTCCGTCTTATTTCACCTCCAGGAACGAGGTCGGGAAAAACACAAAACATGTCATCCCAGACGCTTCCAATCCGCTCCCAAGAGAGCCTGCCTTTCAAAGCCCCCCAGACTGCGCAAGAGTCCCCTCTGGCTGCCGGAGAGTGGCCCAACGGAGCTCCAATAAGCACCCAGCATGCTCCTCCCGCTCCTCCTCCTCCCCCTCCCCCTCCTCCTCCTCCTCCTCCTCCTCCTCCTCCTCCTCCTCCTCCTCCTCCTCCTTCTCCCCCTCAGGTCCAAACCCTCTCGCGCCCCCTTGCTCTGCATGACCTGAGCAGGCAGAACAGATCATATCACACAAGCCAAGGCCAGACCAGAACTAGACACTGGACCGCCCACGAGCCGACGGAACCTGGCAGGACCACGCAGGGCTAGGCTGGACCAGACCAGGCAGGGCCAGAACAGACCAGTCGAAACAACGGAAGGAGGAAGAGCAACACATGCATGGGTGGCAATGGCTTCCCCATCCGTCCTCATCAGAATCCGCTCCCTCCCCCACTCGTGTGCCGTCCCCCACCCCCCACCCCCCCGCTCATCCTCTTGTGCCTCCGCCTGCGCTCCTCGCCCACCTCCTCCGCCCCCGCCTCCGAGGCCGCCTCCTCCTGCTCCTCCTCCTCCTCGACATCCTGTCCCCCTTGTTTCTCCTCTCCTGCCACCTGTGTGCGTCATCTGTGTGGGAGA